TTAACCTAACGATCAACAAACGGGTAATTTTGTATAAAGTATATATATTCTGATCAGCGTAAAATTCTATGACGATTTATGCAGGTCCGTTTTTCTGTTGTAATCACTCTAGCGACTAAACGTATTGAGATAGATCCCCAAAATGTTTAATAAAGATGACTCTTGTCTGCAGGTCGGAAGATGAGCTTTATTGGTCCACGTCAGAGAACTTCAACAAGCCACAGGCAAACGTAAGCCACATAGATAAGCACAAGTGTTGTGGGTGTCAAGCCTTTTGAGTGCAAGCATTTTTTTATACACGAGTATTTTTTCACAACTTAACAACAACAGTTGTTTGATTTTAAGATCACCGCTAGAGTATGAGAGAGTAAAAAGTGTACAAACTCACAAGTGGACGTGTGCGATTTGTCAATTGGCAAATTATACTCACTTCTTGTTGTGTTGTATACTCATTGAACATGAGGGTTGTGTGTGTGTGTGTGCTATTGTTTGTAGTATTGCATATGATTTTGTACAAGACTAGGAAAAGAGCATAAGTATATTAAAAAAAAGAAAAATGCTTCTTTTAAACTTAAATTTTTTCCAGTCCAAAATTTATTTATTTTTTTCATTTTAACAAACAAACTTATAAAAAATATTCTTTTTATTTAAAAATGTAATTATATATCTAATTTACAAAAATTTTTGTAAAAGGAATTTAAAAATAACAAGCTGTCGACAGTTTGTTGCCCAATCCTGTTTCTCTTTTCAGTTATTATATTTCCAGCTAGGGAAAATGTCCTTTCCGATGCAGCGCTACTTGCAGGTATTGATAATAACGACAAAGCCAGTTTAGATAGTTTAGGATACTTTTTTGAATTAAGATTCCACCATTCCATAACTTTAAAATCTTCGCTTAAAATAACTATTTCTTTACGATAAAATTCAAATTCATCGCTTGGACACACTGGTGGCTCACGACTATTGTTCTGAGTTAATTGCGGGAAAAAGAAACTTGTCGTTGAAATGTCTTTTGAATGGGATGTTAAATCTGTACTGTTGTGGCTATTGGAGTCCAACTGGTTAAGCTGAGTTGCGGATAATTCATTAAAGGAACTCATGCGGTTTATTAATTCCAAATCTTCCATTTTGGATAAGCAAAATTCTTTAATTTGTGCCACTTTCTCTTGTTGCATATGCAAGGCGGGTGGATAGAAAAAAAATGCTGTGTAGTGCCATATGCTTAAATTTTCTTCCCATATTTTTCTTACATTTTTTATAATGTTCACTTTCAATTTTGCTATATCTGCAACGTCGTCAACGTCAGGTGAACATATTTCTTTTACTTTTAAAATGGAAGGCACAACAAAACACAGAGATGGTGAACTGCATGTTTGTAATTCTTTAAAAATTCTTTCAAACCCATCGAGGATGTTGACCATTGTTTGAATTATCGACTTATTTATATGAACAATTCTCTGTGTCTCTCCCGCCTCACTTAATATTTGAATCACGCTTTCCCAGTTATCGAGAATAGATCGAAGCATCGTGTATGTGGAATTCCACCGTGTAGGACACTCACTTTTTAAAGAACTTCGGAGTCTGTGCTGCAGATTGGCTTTCTTGAAATATTTTACAATATTTTTGCAAGCAAGAATAGGCACATTGAGTTCAGGTGTCTCCTCAAATGACTTTTCCAGCACGTTTGAAAGCAAATGGCTGCTGCAGTTAATTCTAATATTATTTGCCAATGATTTTACGACATTGGCGCCTCTATCTGTCACAAATTTTATACTACTCAAGTCTTCGACGTTGAATTGTAAAAAAATGGCTTTAAGCTTATTATAAATATTTTCTGCTGTGGATCTTTCAAAATCTAAGGACTTTAAACCTAAAATTAGATCTCGTAGTTCATTGTTTTCATGGTAGTGTAACGTTACTCCCAAAAAATTCCGTTTTATATAATTATCGGTCCACAAATCTATCGTTGCTGATGCACCATCTTTCTCTACAGCAGACTTAATTTCTCGACTAATCAGAGCTTTTTTTTCTGTTGCATCCGAAGTTACCTTTCTCGATAGCGTTATTGGACTTGGTAACAATTCCTCAACGTTGACATGTTCACCATATTCGGCTCCAACTTTAATAAAAAATTTTATCATATCGATAAAGCCGGATCCAGAGACGGCCGAAAAAGGCCGACAATCTCGTACCACCCATTGTGCACATTTGTCAATTGCTTCCTTTTTGCAATCAGCTGAAACAGATTTCAATTCTCGGGATTGCTTTAGAGAGGCACAGCATTTATGACGACATAAGTTTGATGTCTGCCTAGTTGTATATTTTAAAACTTTTTCGCATTTTCGGCAAAACACCCACCCTTCCACCAATGTATCGTCTTCTTTCTGTATATCCGCTAAAACGTTCCAAATAAAACTTGTTCCTTTATGTCGTGGAGTAATTTTATATAATCCTTGGTTGATTTTTGCTTTCACTTCCAAATTTTCCATTTTCTGCATCTAATCTCTACTACTGCTTAAACTCTTTTGAGGATGAACAGTAAATCAGATTTCTTATTCAAAACTAAAAAAAAACTCAAAATAACGGTAAAATAATTGTGCTCAAATCGGAACATTTTGCTGTGAAACTCAAAAACATGTGTAAAACACACTCAAGTGCATAAGCCACTTGTTAGCAAAACAAGTTGTTACTTCTCCGTTCTGATCGTTGTGCTTTCGCTCTCCAAAAGCATAAGGCAGGCGACTGAGTAACAACAAGTAGCAACACATGATGTGCTGAGAGCAAGAGAGTAAGACAAAAAATTTAACTGAGTGCGCAGAACGGCACGACAAAACATACCCGAGTGTCGATGAATCAATGAATTTTTTGTGCAAGTGGCAAAGCACACTTGTACTCATAAGTAGCAAGTGGCGCATAAGTATCAAAATAAGCCACTTGTTGTTGTTCTCTGGTCCACGTACCAAATGTCTCCACTAAAAATTATTAATATCGGTCCACTTTTTCGGGTAGCCCCCATATAAGGGTTAACCCAGACCCATTTCGATACGTTGCGCGTAATGTTGTGCCAATCGGACACACTTTAAAACTTTAGTGCATCATTTGCGAAAAATCGGACGAACATATATATGTGAGCTCTATCTAAATCCGAACAGATTTCAATAAAAGTTGGCACACGTTAGTCTATCCTAACTTCGGTACGTTGTGCAAAATTTCATGCCAATCGGCCTAAATTTGACTCTTTGGTGCACCATTTGTTAAAAATCGGAGGAACATATATATTAGAGCTATATTTAAATCTGAACCGATTTCAATAAAACTTGGCACACGTTAGTCTATCCTATCTTCAGTACGTTGTGCAATATTTCTTGCCAATCGGCCTAAATTTGGCTCTTTGGTGCACCATTTGCGAAAAATCGTACGAAGATATATATAGGAGCTATATCTAAATCTGAACCGATTTTTCCCAATTTCAATAGGGTTCGTCCCCGGGTCAAATAAATGAGCTGTGCCAAATTTCATCCAATTCGGATAATAAATGCGACCAGCACTTATTATCCGAACATGGACAGACGGACGGACATGCATAAATCGACTCAAAAAGTGATTCTATGCATATTCTCAAAAGGAACCATGTGTCTATCTCGTTTCCTAATGCCTGTTACAAACATATGCACAAAGACATAATACTCTGTACCACTGTGTGTGGTAAAGGGTATAAAAATGTCCAAATTGTTTCCTGGGTTATCCTCACCATTGCAGAAAATGAAATTCTCTTCAGGTTAATTCCGTAATATACATAAGTTTTCATCACAAAAAAAAAAAATTGTTAAACATTTTTCCTTTACAAATTAAAATTAGACATACACAGATATGCAATTAAGTTTTAGCCATCACTCCCCATTCTCCGAAATGGAAAAAATCCCCCCCAAAATCCCATTGCGTCCCCCATTGAACTGGGCCAAATCAATTCTCGTCTCTGATTGGCTCTTTAGTCTATGATAAACTCCGCCCTCTGTGGATTTACTGTCCGTAAGTTTTTACCGTTTGCCATGCCAGGCATTGCCAAAAAATGGGGGTTGCCATCTCGTGTGTGTGTGCCCTACTACTATCTAATGGTAACTCGAAATAGGGGAGGGTTTCCTCCCCTTTTGTTTGTTGTTATTTTTTGCCCCTTGTGATTACAAATTAACGAAAAACCCAAACACGACTATAAGGACGATGTCGGGTGCCGTGTGTTGGCCACTTATTATCGAAACGTACAGACAAACGGAAGGCAGGAAGGAAGGAAGTTCGTGTAACGAGAAACGGATATTCACTTCACGGGAGTTAAGTGTTAAACGCCAACGCAAACAGGGACATACGCGCGGAATATCTTTGAAAAGGGCAAACCAAAGGGCCATAGCTTGAAGTGGTCATGTGCCGCGGCATAATTGATGGCACGTTTTAAGAATTAACACAGTGTTTTTTTCATTTGTAAACCAATAAATCGGAAGAAAATCGGTTACAAGCGAATTATATTAACAAAGAGGAAATTAAGTGATAAAAAATCAACAAAAGGAAACAAAAAATTAAATCATAAAAAATAATAGTGAAAATAGTATTGAAAATAAATTTGTTCGAATTTTGAGCTTATCTTATCACCTTGTGTGTTGTTCTGCAATAATTTACAACATACCTATCAATAGACCCCTAAATAACAATGTTTCTATTACAAGAACAATAAATCATTCAAAACGGATATCATTGGCAGAGATAAGTGGAATTACCCTGCAGGTCCTTCAAAGTGTTTGGTGAAAAAATACAATCAACAACAATTGTTGTAGTTCAACACTTGTTGTTGTCTGGTGTCCCCTGAGTGTAATCAAAAGTCATCTGGCGCACGTGCCGCACACACGCTCCAAATACACCCATTCGATAAACGATTACAAGTGAAATTAATTAATAGTGTCAATATCATCGTCATCATCATCGAAAAAATAAAATCTGATTAAAATCTCATCATGTTCTCTTTGGATAATTTCGATTTGGAGGCAACAATGGCCCGCCACTTTTTTGAAGGCTCCCAGGCCACAAATGGTTCCTCTTCATCGAGTTCGGAATTTTTCTTTGGCGATGATAATAGCACGGATACCGATGATGATGATGCCTATAGCAGCGGCTTCAACAGCGATCAGGAGAATACGGAGAAAACGTAAGTGGAAAATATTTATAACAAAAGTGGATAATATGTCGGAAATTGAAAAAAACATACTCTACGAAATTAAGGGTGAAAGGTCCTCGACAACACTTATAAAATAAAATTATGACCCAAGGGCCTTGGGGGAAATATTCCTTACAAATTTCTGGATTAAAGGTTTTAAAAATGGTTTTAAGTTCATGGATTCTTAAAAAATATCGTCTGGAAAATTAAGAAGAAATGTACTCGGACCCTGTTTTAAATAAATAAATTCTGTCTCGTGGGCCTTTGGGAAAATATTTCTTACACATTTCAGCTGCATAGTTTAAAAAAAAAAAACATTTATAAGTCCTTAAAATAAAAAAAATCGTAAACATATCAGGCGAACACACCATTGTTATTAAGGTTCATGGATCCTTAAAAAAATATCACCTGTGAACTGTCCTCGCAAGGACAATGGATGGACAATGGGTAGATTATATTTAAAAACACAAAGACTCATGAATTGAAAATATTCTTGAGAAAATTCCGGCTGATGGGACTATGGAAAAATATGCATTAAGAAAGCAGGCTCAATTGGAGAATATTGTTTTTAATGCAGAATAATCCCTAGACAGAAAAATATTTTTGAAAACCAGTAAGCGGAGCAGTATGGCCGGACGGGGCTGATCATATCATACCCTACACAACTACCACTGAAGTCTAACTTCCTGCAGATCAATATTCCGAGCCTGGACAGGTCTTACCCTTAACATTTAAATCATAAGATTTAAAATTTCTTATTTTACACATAAATATCCTGGCTCATTTGATCCTCTAAATACGGACCTATAGCTATCAACACAGCCATTCTCATTAGAAGAATAAATGGCCTTCCCCGTATAAAAATTTTGAAGTTCGGCTTATAATTATATCCTCTAAACAGACTAGAAAGCTTGACGAAAATAATTTCGATACATTTCATCCTGATCTCTACTATGCCCCCATTAAAAATTCCATAGCGATCAGCGCAATATTTCCGTTCTATACTGAACGTCCTATACGAGAATAGATTGTATAGTTCATGGTTCATTCGACAGCGATATTCACCATAGACGCAGATCGGCCCGTAGATCTTCCGGAGAATCTGCTTACGCAAGTCCCCATGCTTCAGATCCATACAACAGCACGGGTAATATCAGCATCTTGTAGAGTGTGAGTTTGGTCTGGCGAGTGGTGGCCTTGCTTTTGAGTTGTTTACTCAGACCATAGTAGCATCTGTTGGTCAACACAATTCTCCTCCGGATTATAAAGCTGATGTTATTAGTTTCGTTTATGGCGGTACCGAGGTATATAACATCGTTCACTACCTCGAAGCTGTAGTTTTCAAGTTCCACAGGTGGTACGAGTCTACTGGACGTATAGCGCGTTGATACCATTAGCTTGATCTTCTCGCCATTTACTGCCAGACCCACTTTGGCAGACTCCTTCTCAATGTGGCTGTTACCGCTCGCAATTTTCGACCCATTATGTCGATGTTGTCGGCGTAGGTGAGTAACATGTGTTGTTTCGCTTACAAAGTGCCATTTCTGTTCACCTTTGCCTCTCGTATGACATTTTCCAGCAGGTTGTTAAACAGATCACACGACAAAATGTCACCTTGTCTGAATCCTCGTTCAGTATTGAACGGCTCCGAGAGTTCCTTTCCGACTTTAACTGCTGACCTTGTGCCACTTAAAGTTATCATGCATAGCCGTATTAATTTTGCAGGAAATCCAAACACAGACATGGCTTTGAACACCTCTGAACGGATAGGGCTGTCAAATTCGGCTTTATAGTCGACGAATAGGTGGAATGTGTCGATGTGTTTTTCGTGGGTTTTTTTTCAGGATCTGGCGCAGAGTGAGAATCTGGTCAATGGGCCTGAAGCCGCATTGGTATGGTTCAATAATGTCATTGACCATTGGCTTCAGTCGTTCACACAGCACCCTGGATAGTACTTTATATGCGATGGGAAGGAGACTTCTTCCTCTACAGTTCAGATTCCATTCTTTGTGTAAAATCTCGGTTTGTTCAAGTCATAATTGTAGCATTTAGAGCGACCCCTAAACATTAAGCGATCATTACCAACACACAAAATTTTGGTTCAAATGCGATATTCTTCGAATTTAATCTAAGTGTGGAACAAATGTTACGATGTGCAAAGGTTGGTAAATCCCTTTCAGAGTTATCGGGCGTCCCAGCCACACAGATAAACGAGCATTTGTAAATCGATTCTAAGTTGTCCAAAACCTATATTTCGATAAGGCACATGGAAACATTGTATGAAAATCTTTAAAACCTGATTAGCCATAAGACTGAGGGTATAACAATTGAGGCTATATTTGTAATTGCTTAAACAAGTAAACATGTCGTTAAGTTCGGACGTGTCGAAGATTTTATACCTTTTACCATGAGGAGGAAATTTAAAATGTCTGTTATCGTTCGAGGTCTTTACATATTGCGGGCATTTCCATGGTGCACGATTTTTCACTCACTGAGAATTTAATTTGATATATAGATATCGATCATTGCCGAATAAAATACCGTTATATGGGGAGCTATCTTAAATATTGCGCCAATATTTATAATTTTAGTGCAAAAATATGTGCTAACCAATGAGAACTCAAATTACAGTCAATTCGGTTGAAAAACTTGTTAAGTATCCCCAAAATTCCCAAACGTTGGTAATTCCCCAAATTACCAAAACGTGGACCGATATATTTTCAATATCAAACATCCTTAGAGTAAAAATAATGTACAAAATTTCCAATCTCTATTTGAGATATTTCGAGCTCTATCGTAATTTCAGATGGACCGTCGGGCATGCATAAATCGGCGTAGAAAATTATTCTGAGCAAGGATATATATACTTTATGGGGTCTTCCGTGTATATTTGGAGGTGCTGCAAACGGAATGATAAAATTTATAAGTACCTAGGTCACATAGGTCCTTGGAAATATTAAAAAAACCCTGCCTAGGTCCATGTCTTCAATAAATGCAGGTCTATAAGTCCTAAAAAAGATGTTTTTCAAAACCCAAGATAATAGATAATATTATGGTTCTAAGTCTGGACAAAATTAAAATAGTCCGGACTGATCAGTCCATAGAACCTTAAAATTTTCTTGAAAAAAAAAATATTGACTCAAATATTAATGAAAAAATTCATAAAATCTATCATTAAAGAGAATAATCTTAAAAAAGGCAGATTGGTAGTTCCATGGAAGAACGAATTCCTAAAGTTCTTCGATAGATGTTTATTACAATAATGCAAATTTGTACAAATATGCAAAATATCTGCGAAGAAGTTTTGGATCTCTCCAAGAAGATGGAAGCTCATTTTTAGAGCCACTTCAGTGGAAATATTACACAGGGGATATGACAATACGGGGACCTAATATTATAATGTTCTACGATGAGCGATTTTTCCATTTGATAACCCGAATGTTACCTCCACATCGGTCAGAAAGTGCGGCTAAAACATTTAAGAAACGAAGAAATTGACACTGACACAGACATTTTGATGGTTTATATCATTTTCTTAGATGGCGCTAAAAATGGACACTGCGACCATCACGGGTACATTTTCTGTCTTATTGATTTTCCGAAAATCATATTATTGTCTAATAGACGAGGACACATTTTTATTTCCTTTACATTATAGAAGGGTCACAATACTGTTTTCTAACTAACATTGAATCTCTTGCTCAACAACTTTCCCCTGGTGGCATTTGTGATTGGGCGCCATTTACCCATAAGTACGATGTAGCTTCACGACCTGGAGATGAGTTGGTCTATTAAATGCTCCCATATCGTAATTTTATTTTCCTGGCCCATCACTTTTTAGGGTGTAGTTCTTATAACATCGAATTATCCATTGCCTGGACTTTTTACAATATTTGAATATAATTCTTTGTATCCATGAATGTCCACCAGACGAAAGATTCCATAAATTAATTTGAAATTCGGGAAAACTGGTTCAAAGAACCCCATTTCTTTTGTCGGAATGACATATTTCACACCACCGTCGATCTACACATACAGTAGTTGATCCTAATGTTTCTTGGATTAAGTCCATTAGTTAGAAATCTATGTAAGGTGTATACAATTTCAATATGGGTTACAGGCTATATATTTTCTAAAATAAGGTATAATCCAAACTTTTTTTCGGTGTCTGTATGTAAATACGATCAAAAAATGGTCCATTTTTTACCCTCGTAACTGGTTTTGAAGTCCTATTTTAAAGCGATCGAATCATTGCAAATATATTTTTAATTTAAAAATTTCCTCTTTTATTTTCAGCCGACCACACAAAATGCGTCGCATGAAATGTGCCTCGCAAGTTGCTCAGCAGCGGCAGGCGGCCAATTTGCGGGAACGTCGTCGCATGCAATCGATCAATGAGGCATTTGAAGGTCTGAGATCGCATATACCAACATTGCCGTATGAAAAACGTCTGAGTAAAGTGGATACTTTGAAATTGGCCATTAGCTATATTACGTTCCTTAGCGAAATGGTTAAAAAGGATAAAAATGGCAATGAACCGGGATTGACGCTGAAGCGAAAATATCAAAAGGAGCCACCAAAGAAGATAATTTTGAAAGATCGATGTAAGTATGAGGACAATATGTATATTAATTTAAAGGATATAGGATTTATGTTACTTATTCCATGAAATGCGTGTTTTGAAATTATTTGGCCCTGGGGAAAAATTAGTCTGTAAATATCTGCGACTATAACGGTTCGATTTTTTAAATGAAGGCTAGAAAAATATTCCCTAAAAAATCTGCAATTATTGTACAAGCCTTATTGTGGGTTCGAAAAAATATTATTTATCCAAAAATTTTTCTTGAAAAAATCCATGCCTCTCGTAGGTCAACAAAAATATTATTTAAAAAAATTCGCGCCTCTTGTAAGTCAAAACATCTTTAAAAGCCGCACGCCTTTTGAAGATTTGAAAAAATATTCTTTGAATATATTTTATTTGAAATATTCGTCTAATTAAGGCCTGGAAAAAAATATTTCTTAAAAAAATACGTTTTAATAAACCCACACATTTTGGAAGGTAAAAAATATATGTTTTAAAAAAGCCACGCCTATTTATGTTCTAGAAATAAGGTCAAAAAAATATTTTTTAAAAATATTTTTTAAGAAATCCAATTCCAATGTCAAAAAATTTATTAAACAATCTTGGAAAAATATTCTTTTAACAATCATCGCCTATTTATGTCCTGGAAAAAATATTCTTAAAAAACCCACGCCTATTTATGCCTTGGAAAAAATAATCTTTAAACCTGTAAGGAAAGTAGTAAAGTCGGACTGGGCCGACTATATGATACCCTTCACCACTTTGAGTATATTCTACATATGCATCCGTAAAATCGGACGAATATATGGAAGCTACATCGAAATCTGAACCGAATTTCCCGCAACATAACACTCATCATTCTGTACGCCATATCAAATTTCGTGTAAATCGAAGGATATATAGGGACTTTGGTGCACCATTTACCTAAAATCGGACAAAAATATATATGAGAGCTATATAGAAATCTGAACAGATTTTCACGAAACTTAACACACGTCATTCTACACTCAATTCAGTACGCTGTGCCAAATTTCGTGCAAATCGAATGATATATATGGACATTGGTACACCATTTACATAAAATCGAACGAAAATATATATGGAGGCTATATCTGAATCTGAACCGATTTTCGCGAAATTTAAAACACATCATTCTAGACTCAATTCAGTACACTATGCCAAATATCGTTCAAATCGAATGATTTTCAGGGACTTTGGCCCACCATTTACATAAAATCGGACGAAAATATATATGGGAGCTATATCGAAATCTGAACCGATTATCCCGAAACTTAACACTCATCATTCTAGATTCAAGTCAGAACGATATACCAAATTTCGTGCAAATCGAAGGATATATATGGACTTTGGTGCACTATTTACCTAAAATTGGACGAAAATATATATAAGAGCTATATCTGAATCTGAACCGATTTTCACGAAACTTAACACACGTCATTCTACACTCAATTCAGTACGCTGTGCCAAATTTCGTGCAAATCGAATGATATATAGGGACATTGGTGCACCATTTACATAAAATCGGACGAAAATATATATGGGAGCTATATCGAAATCTGAACCGATTTTCACGAAACTTCGCACACATTATTCTAGACTCAATTCATTATGCTGTGTCAAATTTCGTGCAAATCGAATGATTTTCAGGGTCTTTGATGCACCATTTAGATTAAATCGAACGAAAATATATATATGGAGGCTATATCTAAATCTGAACCGATTTTCACGAAACTTAACACACGTCATTCTACACTTAATTCAGTACGCTATTCCGAAATTTGTGCAAATCAAATGATTTTCAGGGACTTTGGTGCTCCCTTTACCTAAAATCGGGCGAAACTATAGATGGGAGCTATATCTAAATCTGAACCGGTTTTCACGAAACTTAGCACACATTATTATAGACTCAATTTGGGTACGCTAGGCAAAATTTCGGACAAATCGAAAGAAATTTAGGGACATTGGTGCACCATTTACATAAAATCGGACGAAAATACATATGGGAGCTATATCGAAATCTGAACCGATTTTCTCCAATTTCAATAGGGTTTGTCCTTGGGCCAAATAAGGGACTTGTGCCAAATTTCATCCAAATCGGATGATAAATGCGACATGTACATTTTTAACAAAAATACATGGACGGACGGTCGGACTTGCATAAATCGACTCAGAAAGTGATTCTATGCATATTCTCAAAAGGAACCATGGGTCTATCTCGATTCTTTTTTGTATGTTACAAACATATGCACAAAGACATAATATCCTGTAAAAAAGAAAACCACGCCTATATGGAAGGTGAAAAAATATTTTTTTTAAGAAATCCACGCCTATTTTGGAAGGTCAACATTTTTTTAAGAAATTCACGCCCATTTGGAATGTAAACAAATTTTTTAAATTAAAAATCCACGCCTATTTATGTCCTGGAAAAATATCATCTAAATAATCATCGCCTATTTATGTCCTGGAAAAAATATCATCTAAATAATCATCGCCTATTTATGTCCTGGAAAAAATATTCCTTTAAAAATCCACGCCTATTTATGTCCTGGAAAAATATTCCTTTAAAAAACCACGCCTATTTATGTCCTGAAAAAAATATTCCTTTAAAAATCCACGCCTATTTATGTCCTGAAAAAAATATTCCTTTAAAAATCCACGCCTATTTATGTCCTGCAAAAAATATTCCTTTAAAAATCCACGCCTATTTATGCACTGGAAAAAATATTCCTTTAAAATACCACGCCTATTTATGCACTGGAAAAAATATTCCTTTAAAAAACCACGCCTATTGGTATCCTGAAAAAAATATTCCTTTAAAAAACCACGCCTATTTATGTCCTGGAAAAAATATTTCTTTAAAAATCCACGCCTATTTATGTCCTGGAAAAAATATTCCTTTAAAAATCCACGCCTATTTATGTCCTGGAAAAAATATTCCTTTAAAAATCCACGCCTATTTATGTCCTGGAAAAAATATTCCTTTAAAAATCCACGTCTATTTATGTCCTGGAAAAAATATTCTGTGGAAAATCCACGCCTATTTATGTCCTGGAAAAAATATTCCTTTAAAAATCCACGCCTATTTATGTCCTGGAAAAAATATTCCTTTAAAAATCCACGCCTATTTGTATCCTGGAAAAAATATTCCTTTAAAAATCCACGCCTATTTGTATCCTGGAAAAAATATTCCTTTAAAAATCCACGCCTATTTATGTCCTGGAAAAAATATTCCTTTAAAAATCCACGCCTATTTATGTCCTGGAAAAAATATTCCTCTAAATAATCATCGCCTATTTATGTCCTGGAAAAAATATTCCTTTAAAAATCCACGTCTATTTATGTCCTGGAAAAAATATTCTGTGGAAAATCCACGCCTATTTATGTCCTGGAAAAAATATTCCTTTAAAAAATCCACGCCTATTTATGTCCTGGAAAAAATATTCCTTTAAAAATCCACGCCTATTTGTATCCTGGAAAAAATATTCCTTTAAAAAATCCACGCCTATTTGTATCCTGGAAAAAATATTCCTTTAAAAATCCACGCCTATTTGTATCCTGGAAAAAATATTCCTTTAAAAATCCACGCCTATTTATGTCCTGGAAAAAATATTCCTCTAAATAATCATCGCCTATTTATGTCCTGGAAAAAATATTCCTTTAAAAATCCACGTCTATTTATGTCCTGGAAAAAATATTCTTTTTAAAATCCACGCCTATTTATGTCCTGGAAAAAATATTCCTTTAAAAATCCACGCCTATTTATGTCCTGGAAAAAATATTCCTTTAAAAATCCACGCCTATTTGTATCCTGGAAAAAATATTCCTTTAAAAATCCACGCCTATTTGTATCCTGGAAAAAATATTCCTTTAAAAATCCACGCCTATTTATGTCCTGGAAAAAATATTCCTTTAAAAAATCCACGCCTATTTATGTCCTGGAAAAAATATTCCTCTAAATAATCATCGCCTATTTATGTCCTGGAAAAAATATTCCTTTAAAAATCCACGTCTATTTATGTCCTGGAAAAAATATTCTGTGGAAAATCCACGCCTATTTATGTCCTGGAAAAAATATTCCTTTAAAAATCCACGCCTATTTATGTCCTGGAAAAAAATTCTTTGGAAAATCCACGACTATTTATGTCCTGGAAAAAATATTCCTTTAAAAATCCACGCCTATTTGTATCCTGGAAAAAATATTCCTTTAAAAATCCACGCCTATTTATGTCCTGGAAAAAATATCCTCTAAATAATCATCGCCTATTTATGTCCTGGAAAAAATATTCCTCTAAAAATCCACGCCTATTTATGTCCTGGAAAAAATATTCTGTGGAAAATCCACGCCTATTTATGTCCTGGAAAAAATATTCCTTTACAAATCCACGCCTATTTATGTCCTGGAAAAAATATTCTTTGGAAAATCCACGACTATTTATGCCCTGGAATAAATATTATTTAAAAATCCACGCCTATTTATGTCCTGGAAAAAATATTCCCTTAAAAATCCACGCCTATTTATGTCCTGGAAAAAATATTCCTTTAAAAATCCACGCCTATTTATGTCCTGGAAAAAATATTCCTTTAAAAATCCACGCCTATTTATGTCCTGGAAAAAATATTCCTTTAAAAATCCACGCCTATTTATGTCCTGGAAAAAATATTCCTCTAAATAATCATCGCCTATTTATGTCCTGGAATAAATATTATTTAAAAATCCACGCCTATTTATGTCCTGCAAAAAATATTCCTTTAAAAATCCACGCCTATTTATGTCCTGCAAAAAATATTCCTTTAAAAATCCACGCCTATTTATGTCCTGGAAAAAATATGTTTTCCAATCCACGCCTTATTATGGCTTTGGAAACATAAATAATTCTTCAAAATGATTGAAAATTTGATGAGCTATGGAAACATCTCAATAACGCCCACCACAGCTGCCCTGATCCTGTTGATAAGCTAATCGGCTAAATCACCCACCTCCATATATTTTTTGTGTTCCGG